GGGGGGGGGGGGGGGGGGCGCGTGCCTCAATGCTGAAACTGTGGAGACATCTGAAATCAAAAACGTTAGATGCACAAGCCATCAAGCAGGAAGAGAAAGCAAGAACTCCAAGAAACCACGGATGCGTGATGATAACTCTCGAATGCCGTGCTGGCACAGGGGACACCTGCAACGATGCATTCCCCTGCGAGCCTGTCAGGTAGAACAGCGTAGCTACGTTGAGAATACCGAGCCGTGAGAATCGGTAGTAGCGGTAGTAGCATGCTGAAGGAAAGCAGAAACCCTGAGCCGGAACGTTGTGCCATCAATCCACATATGACCTCTTCACCCTGCACTACGCAAGAAGACAGCTTCTCAAGGAGCCTATCTCCTTCCGATGCAGCCCAAGCGCAGACTCTGCGCAGCTGCTGTCGTTGTCTGTCCCGTCCTTCGAGACCCACGACATGGAGAATTGCGGCTTCGTAAAACTATAGCAGTATCAGCACGACAACCGCATTATGACCAAAATCCACGAAAAGCTGAGATGAAATGGGCGTGCTACTCTTCGTGTCACGAACCCCCGAAAAGTGACTTTCGAACTCTGCTATCAGACTTTCAGAGAGCCCCAGACAATCAGCAGCTTCCCAATCATCTTCACAACATGCACCCTCTCTCCAAAGACCCAAACCCGAACCTGCAACCTCTAAACCCTGCTTTTCATCACAAGCCCCAAACCCTGAAATCTCCCTGACCGGTTTCTTCACAGACACATTTCAGGCACAAGGTCTTGCGATTTCTTGTGGATTTATATGCCGGGAACTCAAGCACCGGCTGTGCCGCAGGATCGGGCCACAGAGATACCCCAGACCATAAACCCTACCGCTAAAGCCCTAAACCCTAAACCCCTACATAACCCCCCCAACTCAAACACCCTAACTTTCGAAACCATGAGACACAACCCCTAAAGATCCGACTAATTACGGCCCCAGGGCAGCGTAGCGCCCTCTTGGGTCCTCCTCGGCGCTCACTTCGTCCTCGCAGGCTCCGCTGGAGCATTTCGGTATGTACACCCCGTAGCGGCTTAAAGTATAGGGTTCAGGGTTTCGGGCTTAGGGTTTATGTAGACCCAGAACGGCTTATAGGGTTTAGGGTTTCGGGTTGAGCAGTCCCTTCGGTTTTTTTCCCTCCCACTTAGCAAGGACGAGCCCGCATTGCAGGGTGATGTGTCTGACAGCAGGGTTGAGGGTTTTTTTAGGGTTTCGACTCTCACACTCATCGCACACGGCAGGCAAGGCTCCTCACACAGGGTTATGGGGTTCGGGTCTTATGTACACCAAATACAACGAAACCAAAGGCCGCAGGCCGCCAGTCGGGCCGGAATCAACAAGAAATGGTCGCGCATGCAGACATACATATAGTCTTATACTGGTGAGAACCAAAAGTAGAGCAGGATCAACGATGGCAGTAGCAGTGTTGATAGGAACCATACGGCAAGCAACATTAATGACGAGTATTCATGCCACTACTAATCAGGACAAGAACGCAATGCATTAATGCAATAATGTAAGCATGGGTTCGCGTGAAGCAACTGATTTCTTCGTGGTTACGGCCATAACGGTTATGGTCTAGTCCACGTCTGGGTTTCGGGGATTGCCGCTTCCACAACAGGGCCCGAAAGACTGTTTTTTTTGCCTCCACAGACCAGGCTTTACCACGACTTCGCAACTCCTGGATTTGGGGGCTGGGCCAAGTTCAAACAGAAATCCCGAGAACAAGGCCTTCCTAAATTCCAGAAGCTTCAAGCCTAAAGCCCCAAGCCCTGATGCCCATACACTCCCCGACCACGCAATGATAAAACTCGAATCCTAAATCGTCCTCTAACCCCGAAAATCTGCCTCACCCGACTTCCACCGGACGAGCCCACTTCTCACGGCACAAACAGTTCAGGCGTAAGGGCCGTTAGGGATGGAAGTTAGGACACTCGTTTGGAGCTCAGCATTTGGGGCTATGATGGTCCTGGGCATTTTACCTGCAGGGTTGGGGGCGGATGGCTTTCGGGAGAGTGTTTCAGTTGAAGTCGCCAGCTGTTGGCGCTTGGTACGGCACTGCACTCAAAAAGAAATGCACTCTTCGACACGACCGGCTACGTGACGGTTCTGGTAAACCAGCTTACATAGGGTTCCCAAGCCATTACAAATTATCACAGCTTACAACCATGTGCAATGAACGCATCGACAGCTGAATGAAAGCTCTCTGCACCCAGTAGGGAATTTCTGCCTGGCTTGCTGTGGGCTGGGATTTAGTGTCTGTTTTGGCCTGCCAGAAGGTGCCCCACGCGGTATGCAAAGCCGGAAGCAGGTGCCAGGCGAATGTTGCTGCAACCACAGAACACACAACACTAAACTCCAAGTAGTAGTAGTAGTAGTAG